GCCATCGATCGTCATTTACAAGCCAACTAGATTTTTCTCGATTATACGGTAGTTCTAAGCATATACATTTATCTGAATATGATTTTAGGTAAATGAAAAAATAACAATTCTGATAATAATAGTCAAAGGAATAGGTAAACAACTGCCTCGTAAATACTCAATTTAAAATAACAAACGATTTATTCAAGTTTTCAGTAAAAAATAGGCGGTGTTTTCATTTAATTGATTTAATTATTACACCTTGTACATATTTAAGTTACAGCAAAAAGATTTCTCCAATTTTCTATTGGTCTAAAGGTAGCCACACACATTCAGTTTTTCCTTAAGGCTTGAACTGCGCAGTACAGGTTAAACTGCGCGAACTGGCCTGCACAGTAGGGTGTCCGTTATTTCCCAAGTCGATTTTTTTTGCTACCGCCCTCTGAAATTTTAGTTTTTGCCCTAAAAAAAATTTCCAACGTAAACAAGCTCTTAATTTTTAATTTAAACCGTGCCGGAACCATGATTTTTTTCCCATTGAAACAACATGGGATTTTCTGACATTTTGCATTTCATTTTTTATCTCCAAAGCAAATGAACCTACAGCTTCGACAAAAACATACCTACTCAAATAATTAAATTAATTTAATTAATTTAATTAATTCGATACAAGTAATATTTAAGATAAAAGCCACTCGAAATTTGTTCATTCTTTTCAATTAACACACATATTACGAACACTGAAAGGCAATGAAACAATAACGTTAAATTATAGTTTTGATCAATTGATCATAGATGGCACAATATTAGTTTTCCATATTAAAGTTGGTAAAGAAATATTGTTTCATTGAAAAAAGTGTAGATCTAGATCCTTTTTTAGTCAAAATCAAAAGGCGCCATTAGAATTTGCAGCGAATAATAGAAAAATTTGACTATAAACTATGTGCATAACTTTGACCGCGAATAACTTTTAAAGGAATGTTTTTATTGAAAAAACCAAACAGACCTTTTTTGTAGAGCGTAAAATTTTGTATTAGAATATGTCTTGTCGAAGCTGTAGGTTTATTTGCTTTGGAGATAAAAAATTAAATGCAAAATGTCAGAAAATTGTCCCATGTTATTTAAATTGGAAAAAATCATGATTATGGCACGGTTTAAATTAAAAATTAAGAGCTTGTTTACGTTGGATAATTTTTTTAGAGCAAAAACTAAAATTTCAGAGGGTGGCAGTAAAAAAATCAACTTGGGAAATAACGGACGCCCTACTGTCTAACCTGTACTAATGCTAGTCACAGTACGCTAAAAAATTGAACGTCTGTGGCAACTCTTACAAACAACACTTGTATTATCTATGACATCAAGTCAAGAAGTGTCTATAATTCGGTGAAACAGTCTTTAGACTATTCAATTTCATGTTAATAAGGGACGTCAGAACAGCTTTTCGTTCAAATAACAAAAAAATGTATATTTAATAATATTTTTTGAAAAATTATATTTTATAACTGGCAAAACTCACGCATATATTTTCATTAAAATTCTATCATTCTTGCAAAAACACACACTTTACATTGTGTTGAAAAATGATAGTTTTTAACTCACACTCGTACACTTACACTCAAACCTCTCATTCGCGCATGATCAAACACTTTTTTAACAGGTACTGTACAGTGTATATAATCAGTATTATACAGGGCGAGTCTTAAATAAGTGCACAATATTTCAGGGCTGGTAGATCTCGATGAAAGAAATTTACAATAAAAAAAAACGGTATCAAAGACAATCGATGATAATTTTGGCGAGATCAAGCTCTAGACGTTATTTACTTGGCCCGCGCTCCTCTTCTTAATGGCGCTTACTACCAGTTGGCCTTAAGGAGTTTGTAATTTATTTTTAAATTGAGTAGAAAATATTTTTAAATGGTGCATGGTGTGTTTTTGGCGAAAGAAAACCCTAGACGTGTGTTTTACTCGAAACATACAACCCCTAAAAATGTTTGCATTTATTTAAGGCTCACCCTGTATATAATTATTGTTGAATACAATCCAACAATTTTTTCTTTTAATATTTGATAAATAAGCCATAGAAAATCTTATTTAGAATATTATTGATTTGCGAATATACAACGCTTGATTATTACTGATCGACCATTTCTATGAAAATTGACAAAAGAATATATTTATATACACTGCTCGCCATAAGAATCCGATAAAAAATTATATAATATAACATATTTTTTGGTTAATGATAATCTCGTATTTTTCTCAAATTATTCAAGTATTTACTGCTTGTTTTATATACTCAAAACATTTAATATATACACTGCTCAACATATATATAGACAAATTGATGATCCTATATAAACCTTTCAGAAGTGTATACATTACCCAGTTATGTCAAATAAAAGTAGGTGTAAAGATCGCCTTACACTTCACAATCCTTATTTCTGCACTTCCTAATACAGTATTTTTGTTGTAATGGGTGTTTGTAATATTACAAGACACATTTAATATATAGAATGTTCAGCCATCGTTCAATGTCACGTCATATACTCTGTCAAATTCTATCAATCACTTGCCAACCAGATGAAAGAGATTGGTGACGTTATTACGGTATTTTGAAAATCACTGCATATTCTTTTTAGTATTTCATTGTCATTTGATTTGGGGTTATAATTTTATTGACGGATATCGATCCATGTCAAAATTAAAATTTGGTTGTTGCTGTAAAACAAAATTCATTTTTTTTATTGCAAAAATTCCTCAAATATTTAACCAAAATAGACAAAAGCTCGTTGCTAAGCTTATAAATTATTTTTCTCGAGAAAGAGACGCTGGTAGAACACTCTTGGCCCGTGGACACCGTATATGAAGTAAGTACCATTGCCATCAAAAAAAGTAGTACAACAAAATATGATTTAATCTGCTGGTCTATAATAAAATATTTTTAAAACTTTTGAAAAATTGCACATTTTTAAAAGGTAGGTAAATTTTTTATACTTTTATTTCGCCACGTATACCTATCAATTATACCAAATTCATGGTAACGCCTAAAAAGTTAGGTGGCATAATTGTATTGTTTTCATAGTGACGACGATATCCACTTTTCGATATCCTTATAGACCAGGAGTTCTATCTGGGACTAGAGGTGGGAATTCTAGTTCCTTGGGAGGAACTAGTTCCTTAGTTCTAGTTCCTCCAGAGGAATAGTTCCTTGAACTAGGTCTTTAGTTCACAATAGTTCCTCACTAACATTGACATCCCCCTTGCTTGCTAATGCGTTTCGTTGTCAGTCAGAACTATTCACAGTATGATCTGTATAATTTTTATAATGTACGGAGATATAACGAGACGTGTAATTGTGTATGTTAAAAACATATAGATAAGTTTTATTGCAGATAAAAAAATAAAAAAAACTCAAATCAGAATTTAAAAAAACTATATCACAAATCAATTGGAGCAAATATCACAAAAATTTTACGAAAAAGTGCAGTTTTTCCCCACTTCAAGCTTTTTGTTTTTGTCTAAAAATTCAGAATATCTACTTCGTTTTATAAGATATTTCTTAATTTTAGGGACCTAAAGTGAAACATTCCCATAAAATATTTAAAAAACAAACTAAAAATCAAAAACAGTATCCAGGACAATTTTCTCTGGTAATTACGCCGCGCCGGCTGTGGCAATAGACAAGGCCGAATCCATCTTCGTCGCCTTGTATTATATCTCGGATCTGCCGACTGAATAGATTCCCGTGAACTAGTCTTTTAATAGTTCCTCTACGTCTGGATCCGATAACATAAGCGAGCACTCCCCACGCCTGCCTAGCATCAATCGCGCTGGCTGATCCATACATAAACTAGTCTTTTATTTAGTTCCTCTAGTTCCTTTAGGTCCAGATCCGATAACATACGGCATACGGCTGGCACTCCCCACTCCTGCCTAGCATCGATCGCGCTGGCCCGATCTGTTCATACGTAAACTAGTCTTTTTATTTAGTTTAGTTCCTCTAGGTCCGGATCCAATAACGTACGGCTGGCACTACCCACTCCTGCCTACCATCGGGCTACGGGCGCTGGCCGATCCGTCGCCGTCGCATATTATTCTATATCGGTCACAGTCTCGATCCCGGAACAGGTCCTGAGAAACTAGTTCTTTGAGAAACCAGTTCCTCTCATTCCGGGGACGGAATAATTCATTAGAACTAGTTCATTCACGAACTACACACCTCTATCTGGAACTACTAATTCTTGTACTACTTTTTTTATCGCAATGGTACAATGCAAAGGTGTAATATTCCTATGTAAAATACAAATTCATAGCGTTTTTAGATAATATAGCTAGTTGCTGATGCTTTAGAAATAGTAATTTTAACAGTCCAAAGGATTGGAATTAAAGGGATCGTAAATTGATGAAGAGTTCAAGAAAAAATGAATAAATGCCGAAAAAAACTACTTAAAATTTTCTAAACAATATGAACTCATCTCAGACACACCCTAAAACTCATATTTGACAAATAATGATGACGTCACGGTGAACGATGGCTGAACAGTCTTTAGCTGCAATATTAATTGGGGGAGTAAAAAAATTACAAAGCGTAAGGCAGCTCAAAAAACTGATTTTAAATAACAAAAATATGTATACACGCATACACTGTCCAACACAGAAGCGTAACATCGTTCTTTTCGACGTGCCAGGTGAAAGAAATAAACACATAAACGGACTAAATTATGTCAATAAATAATATGTAAAAAAATAAACAAAAAGATAATATATAGTGGGGGTCGACTTTTAAGAATTCTCTCGTTGGGACAGAGCAAAACCTACAAGGTTTTCAATAAAATTTTTAATTAAAAAAAAATGTGATTTCAGATTGACATATTATGAATTATTCATTAACGTAAAAGGTAATAATACCTTGACATATACGAGCATAAACTTGTTTGTAGAAAAAATAGTGTATAATATGTGTGCTAAAAGTGATTTTATTTTGTTCGAAGGGATGGGACGTCGTGTCCCAAGCTTCCTTAGATTTTTTCTTCTAGTTCCAAAAACTCCAGAATACTTTTCAAGAAATTCATCAGTGTTAGATATTAAAAAATACCTAAATAATTCTCCTCTCTAACCCCAAAACGAGAGATACCCTTAAACGCCTTCTTATATACACCAACCAGAGGGCAAGTACACTGCCCTACATCGCTTAAAAAACAACTCCTTTTTCGAGATAGAAAAAAAACAGAAAAAATCATTATTAGCGCTCTCACTACTCGTCCTTAGGCGACGTTGCCGTTGTCGACTTGTTCTCCTCCGAGTCGCTGCCGTCAGTCTTTTTGTCGTGGAGGCTCTTGCGCAGTTCGTTCACCGCGCTGCCGGTGTAGAGGCGCTTGATGCCGCGGGGCAGAGCCCTGCACGACTGCAGGTTGATCGAGGAGAGGTTAGGGCACTTGGTTAGGACCGCCTTGACAGGGTCCAGGGACACCGAGGAGCCGCACAGGTTCAGGATCCTGAAAATTGATTTAGAAATATTCGTTTACAACCATAATAACGTCAAATATTATTAATTTCCTTTAAATAAAAAGAATAGGGAAGGAGCATATCAAAAATGGCCGACTTAAATTTGAGTTTATCAGTGCCGTTCTAATTTTATTCAAAACGTGTAAAAACATGACGTAGGGTAGACTCAATAATTTGCTGTTTTATTTTACGTTGTGAATAAATGTTGGTAGTTATTAAAATTGTTATAAAAATATATAATTCTAATAAAAATAGACAAGTTATAATAATTATTTATTTACACGAACATCAGATACGCTACTGAAGCAGTATCTAAATTCTTTAACACTTGTCTTTTTCGATAAATCGCAATAGTGTCACTGTTAATTTAAGTTCCGCAACAAAAAATTTTCTTTCAGATTTACTACCTTTAAACAACTATCAGTAGTAATAATAATAATAAATAACATAATAACATAGAAACACGCCCAAATTTTTTGCGAAAAAAAATGTTGAAAATTTTATGTTTTTCTTGACATTCTCCGGAAAATATTGAAAAACTTTTGAGTGTCGCTTGTTCAGTTTCATAGTGCTTTGAGAGAATGCAATGTTGCCACCTCCTACGTTATCCACGTTCTGTATGTTTATAAACTGTAGGTTCACATTTTTAAATTTCTACAAAAAAAATACTTAAATTAATTTTATACGGTAGATTTTTAAGTCTCATAGTCGTCTGCCACCGACCAGTCCAGTGATACTGAATAATTTAAATATTTTTCACTTATTTTGTAAATAGTCAACGTTTTGAGCTACATTTAAACGGACCAGCTGATGTAAATCAACTGATCTGTTAAGGTGACAAATTTTAGGTTATCCAGTTCATATAAAATTTGACTCAAAACTAACAAAACTAAAAAATAGACAAATGTAAGACAAACCTGTAAAAATACTTTTATTTTTCATATAGAAATAACAATTATTTTGGTGTTTATTCACAAAAACAAGAGTGTGATATAGAAAAATTCCCAAAAAATCATTCTAAACGATTCAGATGGCATATGAATGAATTTTATGTCAAATACACGTGGGTATTTAAGTCTAGTGCTGTCAAAAATCGCAATGAAATGTTAGGTAAGTTTTTTACTTAAATAAGTAAGAATTTTCAAAGTCGTTTTTAAATCTTTCTAGTCGATGTGTCAACACCGGGCGTCGAACAAGCTAATATCCGGGTAATTGCTTGGTATTTGAGGCCGATTATCGATTTCTGTCGGCGGCTCTCAAAATGTTGCCATTATTGTTTTAAATTTTCAAAGTTAAATAACTCGGTTATTAACAATTTATTTTAAAAATGATGAATGAGAGAAAATATGTTTCTTTTGGCCAGATCTTTGAATAAAAAAAGTAAGAAAGGAGTATAATGCTATCCATGTATTTATGTATGGTGGACGGAAAAAGGATTCTAGGGTGGGGATCCTTGACAGTTCTGTTTGACTATTCATTTGACACATTTGAATTTGATTTGGAATTTTGTGGATTTGTCAGTCTTTACTGAGCTTATTTTATGTTATTTATTATTTATTCCACTACTGATAGTTGTATAAGGGTAGTAAATCTAGACGGAAATTATAGCAGAACTTAAATTAACAGTGACACTATTGCGATTTATCGAAAAAGACTGTAAAACAGTTGGTTGTGTAGCGCGCGGTAGATCTTGATAAAAAATCGAGGAAAATAATGAAATAACTTTTCGCTAGTAAATGACTATATAATATACATGACGTGTAGTAAATCGATCTTGTATGATATTCACTTAAATTAACTAATTATATATTTTTTCTTGTATTTTTGCTTTTATTTACTACTTGTCAAAGATTAGATGTCAAAGAATTTAGATAGGTTAATTTGACTTAACTGTTTCAGTAGCGTATCGGATGTTTGTGTTAATAAATAATTGTTATAACTTATCTATTTTTATTAGAATAATTATATATTTTTATAACAATTTTAATAACTACTAACATTTATTCACAACGTAAAATAAAAGAACAAATTATTGAGTCTACCCCACGTCTACCCTACATCATATTTATACATTTTTAAATAAAATTAGAACGGCACTGCTAAACCGAAATTTAAGTCGGCCATTTTAGAGTCCTTCGCGATCTAAGATTTTTGATATGCTCCTTCCATAATATTTTTATTCAAAAGCAACAACACGAAAAATAACTTGTAAAATTGTAAAATCCCTGCTATATCCCTTGATTCAAAATTCAGATTACATTACAGCGTTATAAGAACAAAACACCGCTGTTTTAAGGCAACATAAACAACGGTACGGCACTCATACGGAAAAAGATATAAACTCAGAGAACACCGAGCAAAGTCGTGTTATGCGGGTATGCATGCATGCATATATGCATGTACACTTCTCTTAAACTACCGTTGCTCTATATTCTTCTCTCATAAAATATTAACTGGCTGAACTGGGGAAAACTTTCAAAGCGAAATCGATTGAATTTTCGCAAATTGTCTCTGGTAACCCCACGTAAATAAGGTCCGTCCTTGTAATACTTTCCGCGGCGGTTGTTTGGAAAAACTATATAGAGCGTCCTAGATATGAATGGGAAGTGGAAAGCTCCACAGATAGGAAAATGGTTAAATTAAAGTAATCTTTTTCGGGAAAGAATCCGGAAATTTACCAGAATATTATTATTATTACGGGAATTTGAATAAAAAACATGTTTTTATTATTTTTAAACAAAACATGCATTAATTATGATTTTAAGAACATAACATAAGTAAAAATTAGAAACAAATCAAAAATAATCACACAGAAAGTTTGAAGCTTGTTGGTTTTACCTTATTAAGTAATTGTTATTCGGTAGTAATTGTTAATTTTGTTTAGCTTGATATAATGCCATTTTAACAGAACGTCAATGGTTTTTATAGACGTATCTGTGAAGTGGCGAACTACCCATATAGGATTTTTTGGAGAGATGCATTGTATATGGTTTAAAACAATTTTTGAAGCAAAATAAAAACACTAAATCACCACAATACACCAAAACACTTTTACTTTTACACTGGACGCGCGTTTCGCTAACCATGTTAGCATCATCAGCAGATGATTATAAACTAAAGTACAATCTACAAGTTGAGCGTTTATATACTCGCTCAGTGGGCCCCGAGTGGGCGTGGCAAAATCTAGAGCCACTGAGCGTAACAGCATTTCGCACACAGAAGACTTTTGAAGAATGAAGGACTTTGACTTTTTATACTACATTTGTTTACTTCGATACATATGCATCTAATTGTTCAGGGATTTGAGACTTTGTTTATTAATTTTTATCTATGTTCATTATCAACAATATGTTTCGGCAACGCAAGGTTTATCTGGTCTACCATATCTTATCTGAGCTAAATGTTCTTTAAATCTAGTTAATATTGATCTTCTAGTTTCTATATTAACTAGATTAAAGAACATTTAGCTCAGATAAGATATGGTAGACCGGATAAATCTTGCGTTGCCGAACATATTGTTGATAAAGAACATTGTATAGATCTTAATAATTTAAAATTAATTAAACAAGTCTCAAATTACAAGCAATTAGATGCATATGAAAGCATCAGAATTAATAAATGTAAAGATAGTATGAACAGAGTCAACGGTCCAATTCCTTCAAGTTCTTTGTTCCTACTACTCTAGTGGCGGAAATTTAACTGTTACGCTCAGTTGGCTCTGACTCGGTTTGGCTAGATTTTGCCACGCCCACTCGGTGCCCACTGAGCGAGTATATAAACGCTCAACTTGTAGATTGTACTTTAGTTTATAATCATCTGCTGATGATGCTAACATGGTTAGCGTAATGTCATTTTAACAGTGTTTCAATGGTATTGTAGACGATCTGTGAAGTGGCGAACTACCCATATGTGTAACACCAAAGGTTCCAACCCTCAACTGTAATCAATTTTTGAAGTACAATAAATATTTTTTTTGAACGCTGTTTAAAACTATTCGCCTTTTTATTACATATGGCTCTTTCAAGGGTAATCCAAGGTAACGAGAAAAATCATTGGGTGGCTTTGATAAAAATTTACTGTGGAAAATACCATATGAAATATAAAACCACCAATATCTGCGAAACGGTTAAAGATTTTAAGTCTCTAAATTCAAAAAACGTTCATTTTTAATTCCTCCGTCTAATAAAAAAATAATATACAGTATGTTCCATTTAAAAAAAACAAGAAAAATTATTTTATATTTTAGAAAGTTCGGCACAGAATTTTGAACGCCCTGTATGATTTAAGAATACGATATGTATAGCAAGGTAAATACAGACGACCATCTAAAGTAAATATCTAATATAGTTTTGATTTCAGGACAGTTTTTGTTTTTTTAATAATTTTCTTTAGAAAGGATTAATATCTGATATTATGTAAATATAATATTTACTCATATCTTGGGATTATGTAAAGTGATCTAAAGGAAGCCAAAAATGCAATAATATACAGGGTGTTCCATTTAAAAAAATCATCTTGATCCGCTCATACTTTTTTGAGCCACCCTGCAGAAGTCAAAATATTTTCCTGAAATACACCCTAGTACATACTTTAGGTCTGTACTTATACAAAATTCTTCAAAAAGTTGTTTTATTCTAGGAGCCAGAGATGCCCGACGCACTATTGCCGTGCCTTGCATACATACGAAATTTAATTTAAAAAAAAATCGTTCACAGCTAAAAAGCAGTAAATGTTATAAACAGAATCGTTGTATATATAATAAATAAAAAACAAAATGTGTTGTATTTCTTTTTTCCTTGCACAAATTTATATTGTTTGAAAAACTTTAGTGAATAATATCATGTCATTGTGCTGTGATAGATTGTGTTTTTGATATTAATTTTTGTAAATTCTTTTATAAGCTTTAAAACATATTAACTTCCAAGCATTTTATAAACTATAGAATGACATATTATGAATTATTCATTAACGTAAAAGGTAATAATACCTTGATATATACGAGCATAAACTTGTTTGTAGAAAAAATAGTGTATAATATGTGTGCTAAAAGTGATTTTATTTTGTTCGACTATTTTTTATTTTCTAGATTTTTTCTTCTAGTTAAAGCCCAGAATACTCTTCAAGAAATTTATCAGTGTTAAATCGCAATGAAATGTTAGGTAAGTTTTTTACTTTAATCAGAATTTTCAAAGTCGTTTTTAAATCTTTCTAGTCGATGTGTCAACACCGGGCGTCGAACAAGCTAATATCCGGGTAATTGCTTGGTATTTGAGGCTGATTATCGATTTCTGCCGGCGGCTCTCAAAATGTTGCCATTACTCTTGTATAATAAATAAAAAACAAAATGTGTTGTATTTCTTTTTTCCTTGCACAAATTTATATTGTTTGAAAAACTTTAGTGAATAATATCATGTCATTGTGCTGTGATAGATTGTCTGTTTTTGATATTAATTTTTGTAAATTCTTTTATGATAAGCGTTAAAACAAATTAACTTCCAAGTATTTTATAAACTTAAAAAAAATATAAAGTAACAAAAAAAATTATGAAAAGAAATGTTTTTGATAAGAATAAGATCTGATGAAAATTGTTTGACTAGGGCTTTATTATTTTTTTTTTGTTTATTTGTATAGCTCATTAAACCTTTAATTATCTATATTATGTTTGTTTTGTAATTATTTTAACACATTCTTTTAACTTAAATAAAGGTTGTACTTTGTTGTAGATATACACTTAATATTGTATAACACTGATGAAGACTGTATTGTTGGCCGAAACGTTTGTCTATAGACTAAATAAAGTTTTTTAAACAAGATGAAAACATAATTTGAGTGTTTTCGGAACCTAATGTCCCAAGAAAATGAATTTAAGGATAAATAAAAAATAAACTAGTGTCAAATAACAAAAAAAATAAAGAGACAGACTGTTTTTTTACCTTAATTTTGATTCTGACCCTTTTTCTGCTAGAGCCAAGACGGCGGCGTCCAAGGAGGCGGTGGCTGTGGACCAGGCCAAATCCACTTCCAACAAGCTATGACTCCATTTACGCACGATCAATTCCAATCCAGAATTCTGTAATCTCGTAACGTAGCAGGCTGTAAAACAAAACACCGAAAATGTATATCTACAAAAAGTACCCATTGTTTTTCCCACTAGGAATGGGCGAAAATGAATTTTACCTATCGATAAATTATCACAGTTCATCTAATGATATATTTTAGTTAAATATGTGGAAATTCTCGATAGTTATCAGGTAAACTCTCGATAATTTTGGAAATATATCGATAAATTTGAAGTGGCCTATTGTTATTCGATATATCGATAACTATCGATAGTTATCTATAATATCGGAAATAAATCATCCCTAATTGTAAGTATAGAATGTGATCTTATGAAATTTTAAGAAAACTTGAAAATATAATACACTTTATTTTATACATGCCTGGACACCTTAACTCTGTGGTCTGTATTTTATACATGCGACAGAGATAAATATAAATGACAAGTTGACAGACAGAGAGACAAAATAAAAAGCGGGATACAGTGTTGCCGGTTTTTACGTGAATAGGCAGAGGGTAGTTTATTACTTGACAATTATCAGTCAGTCATTATTTTGTATCATATCTTGTTGTTGTTGAATCTTTGGGAGTAATTCTCGTTTTTTGCCGATTTTCAGTCATTTTTTTAAAAATTGTACTTTTGAGCACAAACAGTTCTTTTAAGAATTAAATTCTCGAGTTTTTGTATTGCATTTCTTAAAATTGTATGTCGAAAATATGTCAAAGCATTTAAACAGTCGAACCAAAGAGCTTGTAGCTTTCCTGATAAACTATTTTGAACGAGAACGTGACAATAAAGGTTCTTTATTACCCTTTATTACTTACTTACCCTTTATTACCCTTAAGTTTGATTGGTAAGCACATTATACCACTTTCAAAGTTATTTTTACTTATTTTCAGCTGCTGCCTTAACTTTAAATATTGTTACTGTGAGTGTTAGTGACTACTGTTAATAAATAAATTAATTACTAAAATATTACTAAATTAAAAATAAAACGTAAAAATGTTTAAAAATTTATATAATGAAAATATGTTGTTATCCAATTTTACATTAAGTTTCATCTCATAAATCGATCACAATCTGGCAGCGCAGTCGTCATCGCTTGTCACTTAAAGTTGATCACGTGCATCGGAAATTGTTTTGCGAATACTTTTTTGCGAATACTAGATAGATAACGACTAAATATCGATACATCGAAAAAAAGCCCATCTCTACTCACCACTTAAGAAAAGGTGTTCCAAGTCCCATGCGGGAACCCGTACCAATCCCGAATCGGTCAGCTTGCTGCAACCCCTCACGTCCAGCAATCTCAGCTTCTTGCTGGACTTCAGCAACCGCTCTATACCGTCGTCGTCCATCGATCTGGACGTTGTGGTTTGGTCTTCCTCCAGTCCGGCCAGGGAGAGTTCCTCCAACATTGGAAAACCAGGAGAGGCCATCTAAATAGAGAAATTTTAAAAATTCAGTTGATTTCGAAATACCGACAAATTATTTACAGTTAATAATATTATTAGAGTCTGTGCAAAGAGCCAGGAAGATTTCAAATGACAGAAACAACTGTCACACTTTATTTTTAAAAAAGTGAACATTTTAAAAAAAGTAAAGTATTCTCGAATAGTTGAATTTTAATATTTTAAATAGTTTTCTTCTTATTCTTTGTATTTTTTGCTTCCGACGACGGAAAGAGATAATCTTTCCGAAAGCAACGTTAAGCATTTTTTTTCTTTGTTAGGCCAATTTGTATAACTGTAAACATAACTTTTGACAAGCAGTGTCCGTTTAGGTTTAACGCAGAAGTGTTTACAAAAAATAACTATTTTATTTTGTAGATTTTCTTGCAGTGCAGTGGCAAAATACCCATAAGGATTTTTTTGGATACACTAGTTAGATAATGACAATTAAAGACCAAAATCGATAGTTTATTCGCTGAGAATTTCTTCCTTACCTGTTCGCTGAGCGTAGCTGGCGCCAGCCATATCTGGCTGTTGGTGATGCGCAGCACCCTCAATTTCGGACATCCGATTTGGAGCTTCTCCACGTGGAGCAGGGCGGTGTTGTGAGCGAACGTTTTTATGTTGGAGATGTCCAAGAGTTGGAGATTGGGGCAGTGAGACTATTGGAAGATTACAAACGGCAAAATAACGACAAAAATTCAGGCAAAATTAATAAAATTAAACTTACAGAAATAGATGTAATTATCTGTATGAATCCGGCGATTTTGTTGTGAGCTAAAACTAGGTGAGTGAGGCGCGTGTTCATGCTCTGGCTCAGAGCGACCAGAGGTTGGGCGTTTATCGCTGATGCAGACTGAAATTATGAACGAACGAATAAACACAAATAATTAATATCACATTTTCGATTTGTATCGAAAAAAAAACGACGTCATAGTGACTTTCAAAATGTCGATAGATTCGTAGTTTTTTCGTAAAAATAAATTTTAAAATTTGAAATTTTTTGAATTTTTTTTAAATTTTTAGTTAAAAACCCTAATATCTTCATAATATGGCAACATCTGTAGTAGATTAAATTGACAAGAAAGAAAACACAAAAAAGATCCAACGGTTCTCAAAATTTAAGAAAAATATATATTTTTTTTCAAATTTTCAAAGTAAAATATCTCTGATCTCCTTTGAAAAACAGTAAAGAGAAAATATGATTATTTTATCGATATCTTCCAGCCCTGAAAATATTTGCACTTGTTATGACCCACACTGTATATTAAGTAGATATAAAAATCCTTATTTTAGTTTTCTTTAGGAAATATAGTGTTTTTTGGAAATATAAAAAAATACTCAATAAATAGAAATAAAAAATAATTAAATATATTAAAAAAATTAAAAATCTTATATTTAATTATAAATAAAAATTTTTAAAATTGAACTTACTTTTGAGAATCCCTGTATTGGTACAGATAAAACAAAAAAAATGAAAAGTAAATTATTTTTTCCAAAATAATACAAAAATACAATACGATCGAAAAAAAACGGCGTCAGAGATGGCTTGGAAATTAATATCCTTGTCGTTTTATATGTAAAATTATTTGATGATGAAATTGATCATCATTTCCAAGCCAACTTGACGCGATTTTTTTTCACTCATATGATATTTTTTTTACGATTCTGCCTGTCAGTCTTACCCCTTCGGTCAAAATGTATCAAGTAAAACCTTGTGTGTAGACGAAAAAAAAACACGAACAAAGACCGTCTAGGGTCTAACTGACAGTAGAGAAACTTTTAAATAAATTAGTTGATAAAAATACCTAAAAAAATACTTACATTAATAGAAGAAAGATCGAGCCTTTCCAACTTTTTACACTCGTTAGTCAGGTATTTCAAATTGTCAGCGTTCAACCCTTTCCAGCCGCTCAGGTTCAGCCCTTTTAATTTAGGACAGTGTTCGCAAAGGGCTTCCAAGACCGACTGTATGTCCCGTACTTTCCATTCGCCTTTGAAAAAAATATTTTGTTTTTTAAAATAAATACTTCATATATAGAAAAATTTCCTTACCCATGCTCAAGTCTTCACAGTCGGTGAGCCTGTTCAAAATGAGCCAATGCAATCGCAAGTCAGTTCTGTTTTTCTCCTTCACATAATTCAAATCGGCTTTCTTCCACAGGGATGGTTTTAAAGATATGTCTCGCCATAATCTACATACTTTACATAATCTGCAAGAGTGAGCCAATGTCACAGATAAGTCTGCTTCATATATGTAGTGATGTAATAGAAAGAAGAAAGAGGTGGGCAAAGATTGAACGAGCCGTTCGTTTAAACGAGTATTAAAAATTGAATCGTTAGGGCACAGATTGAACGAGTCGTTCGTTTGAACAAATCGTCATTTGAACGAGTATTAAAAATGAATCGTGAGGGTAAAGATTGAACGAGTCGTTCATTTGAACGAGTATTAAAAATGAATCATGAGGGCAAAGATTAAACGAGTCGTTCGTTTGAACGAATCGTCATTTGAACCAGTATTAAAAATGAATCGCGAGGTCAAAGATTGAACGAGTTGTTCGTTTGAACAAGTATCAAAAATGAATCGCGAGGGCAAAGATTGAACGCGTCGTTCGTTTGAACGAATATTAAAAATGAATCGTGAAGGTAAAGATCGAACGAATCATCATTTGAACGAGTATTAAAAATAAATCGCGAGGGCAAAGATTGAACGAGTCGTTCGTATGAACGAGTATTAAAAATGAATCGTGAAGGTAAAGATTGAACGATTGATTCGTTCATTTGAACGAATCGTCATTTGAACGAGTATTAAAAATGAATCGCAAGGGCAAAGATTGAACGAGCCGTTCGTTTGAACGAGTATTAAACATGAATCGTGAGGGTAAAGATTGAACGAGTCGTTCGTTTGAACGAGTCGTTCGTTTGAACGAGTAAACATGAATCGTGAGGGTAAAGATTGAACGAGTCGTTCGTTTGAACTAGTATAAAAGATGAATCGTAAGAGCAAAGATTGAACGAGTCGTTCATTTGAACGAATCGTCATTTGAACAAGTATTAAAAATAAATCGCGAGGGCAAAGATTGAACGAGTCATTCGTTTGAACAAGTATTAAAAATAAATCGTGAGGGCAAAGATTGAACGAGTCATTCGTTTGAACAAGTATTAAAAATGAATCGTGAGGGCAAAGATTGAACGAGTCGTTCGTTTGAACAAGTATTAAAAATGAATCCTGAAGGTAACGATTGAACGAGTATTAAAAATGAATCGTGAAGGTAAAGATTGAACGAGTGGTTCGTTTGAACAAGTCGTTCATTTGAACGAGTATTAAAAATGAATCGTGAGGGCAAAGATTGAACGAGTCGTTTATTTGAACGAGTATTAAAAATAAATCGTAAGATTACCAACACAGATCCATAAAATTTGAACAAACAAGCCATAAAAGAGTCTTAGGAATTGAATCGAATCACAATGCGACTCGTTCGTTTCTACAGCTCGTTCATTCAAAGAATCGTGAAAATCGATTCATTGCTTACAATACGGTTCATTAAAAAATGAATATTAGAATTATATACTATGAGTTTGGATACCCAAACGTTTTGAAAAGCCAGGACTGGAGAATGTAACCTAAACATCAGAAGAGGACCATAACAAATAATGTGAAAACGTAGCAGAGGAACAAGCCAATATAACCTAATATCAAATATAAAGGATACTCACTTGACCAAAGTAGGCAAAGCACCTTCATGGGAACACGTTTCTTTAAATATCCGTTCCAGGACCTCTTCCGGTATTTTGGCAGGATCTGCCCAAGGCGCCTGTTCCATAGGCACTACGTCTTGCGTGCTGGACACATTATTATCCGTCACAGCAGCCGCCGAAGCTGACGATCCTCGACTCCTTTTTGGTTTTCTCTCGTAGTCTGAATTATCAGTGTCTGAATAAGTCTTGTGCTTTTTTCGTCTACCCGATTTCTTTTTGTTTGGGGTTAACTAAAAAATCCATTAAATTAGGGTGTCCATTTTTTATGCAAGTTAAACATTAAACAACTCTAAAATGGCTAAAAGTTATCACCTACCTGTACATGAGTACTGAAATGGCTTTTTTTGATTCGTATTTTGATGGCATTCTTGTCTCCGCTTATCTGACTGTGGTACATTGGTACAACGGTTTTTCGAGGCCTGCCTCTTACTGTTCCACTGGAAATTCGTTTTTTCTTTGTGGACGTTCCAAAAGAACCATTATTTTGGCGGTCGTAATAGTAATTGTCGCTGCTCTGAGACAATCTGTCTGAGTCCTCCTCTTCAGATTCAAGGGGTTCTTCTATCGGTTCAGACGTCTGGGGTTCCTGGCTCGATTCGTTAGCACTACTGTTCTCATTCAGGCTGTTCGTATCCTCTAAAAATTTAAAAAAAAATATATAAACTGGTCTAAAAAAAATTACAAAAATTCATTTGGCAACTGTGGTCAAAGCCAGTGGTACTTGCCACAGTTGCCATGTCTAAACATTTTCCTTAGACCTAGGGAAACTATTCTAACTATTGATATTATTGATTATATTGCACTAGTTACTCCGAGATTGATATAAATTAGTATATTCTAAAAAACTTTGCAGCAATGATATAGGGAATTTACAAAATATCATCTGGGAATCTTGGTTAATGACTTAACATAGTTGCCAGGTTTAAGGAATTTTCCCTAGATCTAGAGAAAATCAACATCAGAGGAAGAAAGTTATGGAAGGAAATTTAAAAATAAAGAAATATTAAGCAATATTTACAATATATTGCATTATTTACTCTGAGATTGTTATAAATGAAGCAATTCTTTAGAGAATTTGCAAAATTTCATCTGGTTTTCACTTACCCGACTGACTAACAGAACTCACATCTGCGTCTTTAAGAAAGTCTGTTTCACTAGGCTCCAGTTTCACTATCAAAGTCCTCTCTTCGTTAAAACACTCACTCTCGCAATATTCCTTCTTCTGTGGCGAATTGGCGACGTTTTGACTATCACAAACATTATTATTCGGCAAATAGTCCACATAGTTCTTCACTTGCCCGTTCAAGAGACAGTCTTTCAGGTCTATCTCTTGAGACTTCGGGTCCGGCTTCACTATGTTGTTTTCCATAGCCTCGGACATGGTTAAAGCGAACAAGGTATGAGATGTACCATTCACATTGTACAGGGTGTATCCCGGCGACGTTCTTAGGTAGGAAAGCTCATATTCGTACTTAAAAGAAATAAACAATTAGAAAACAATGCAAAATATCAATAATTTTCAATAAAGCAATGAGTAATATCTTAATATAACAATAACTAACAAAAATAAAAGGCTGGGCGTTTGAATTTGGCGCTATTTAATGTGGCTCAGAAGTCGTAAACAATCAAACTTGACAGCTGAAATAAAAGAAACTTTTTTCAGGTTTTCAATTAATTTCCAAACTGTTTCGTCGCATACTTGATTTACATCGTACATTGGCTGATTATTCCGAAAATTACCTTCTCATAGTTACCGAGTTATCCATCCATTTAACAAGAAAATCGTTATCAAACAAAAAGATTTCGATTGCACTCATCTTGTTTAACACATTTAACGCCGTTACCTGTTAATTTTCCACACTTCCAGCCATTATTCAATGGGAATCACATCACTCACAACATTTTTCACAAGTTATTATGCTGAAAATTTCGCTTTTTAGGCAAATAAAGTTGTTGACCTTGTTATACAGTAGGGAAATGCTTATTTTTTATTTTTGTAGATTGTCCAAAACGCCATCTAGAATTTCTATTCCGACTGTACCGCCATCTTTCAAATACTCTCCGAACTAAGGTGAAATAGCGAATAGATAACCAGTTATACAGTCAATAAAAATCTTTATTTGTTAGTGTTTTAAGAGAAACTAGGATTTATCGGCAAAATGCAATGGAAATTTCAATAATATTTGGGAAAATGCAACGATTTTTTAGTAAATTATTAAATTATTTACAGCGCCACCTGCACTTCAATAGCTGAAGTTACCGTAACAGTTCTAATGTTTTCTACAGGGTTTTTTGCAAAAATTCAGAAGGATTATTTAAAAATATTTTATAAAGAATTAAAACTTAATAAATAAAAGGCTGTTTTTTAATATTGTTTGCAATGTCTTTATTGCTTAGTCAGGTATTGTTCTCAATGTTCACACAGGATACGATAATAATAAAGTTTAGTATTAAAACTTTTTATATAATCTATAGACATCAAAATTTTGCTTATGTAATAAAAAATGGTGTTCAATATACCTTTCGGCATTATAATTAAACAATTACACTACCTAAAAAGAATGCATTAAAAAAATTAAAGTAAAATATAAAATCTAAAAACTTCACATGCCAATAAAATAATACCAAGTTGGCTTTGGAGACTTTTTTCATATAATTCTATCTAACTAAATAATGTAACAGTATATGTAAATATTTATAATATAAAATAAGTAAATATAAATATGATGGGAAGGCCAAATGCCGAGATTATCAAGAAACGGTTTTTTTCTGGTTACCGATAAAACATTTTTATCTAGATTCTATATTTATAGTAAAAAAAGGGTTATTTCTTGATATTCTCGGTTACTTAGCCTCATAGATGATGACACACATATCGTTTACTAATACAACACAATTTATTTTATTTTTAAATCACAGGACAAAAGGTTTGTATTAACCTAGCATATGATTATTAAAACTCTATATATATATTTGATAACAATTAAACTTTTAGTTACGTAATCGACGGCGCGATTTTTGGATGTACGGCGTGAATATATTCGGCGCCGTATACTGACTAATTGGAATTCAAATTTCGCGCTGGGGATTCAGGTGGTAGCCCTGCTGCTAAAAATGTCAAGTTGCCATATTTATTTATTTGTTTCCTGAAATTTTCATTTTGTTTTGATACTCGAATTTTGTATTACGATTTTTTGGTTTAAATAAATAATGTTGTGATAATTTAAGCTTAAAAACGTTTACGTGCAGTCGAACATTATTCTTTTTAGAACCTCTTTTAGTGCGAAGTGATACAAGATAGCTTAATAGCCGTAAAAAACTCATCGCAACTTTATTAGAACATTTTGAACGGGAAAGCGGTAGTAATTTTCCTTTATGTCCCTTAAGTGCTGTTAAGAAGGTGAGTTTTGTTGATGTAAATAGTAACTCTTTATATATTTATAATTATTAGTTTATTTTTGTTTCCCAAAATATTTTGATTAAAAGAAAATATGTAAAAGTGGGCATCGCCGTGCCGGTCAAGCTTAATCACGTGACTAAAAGTTTATTTGCTATGAACTTGTAAGTATAGTCATTCAGTGTTGCAAAAATTTGAAGAATTTTGTTATGCGTTGGTAGATTATCCTTTTTTAATTTAAAGAAAGTTACGAAAAACGGCAACACTGAAATAATTTAAGGTCTTTATATCTGACTTATCGCTATTAATTTAAAAAATAATCTATATAGATATAAAGGCATAAAGCGAAAAAACTCACATTTATATCAACAAGTATATAACAATATAATATATAGTACTTTGGCAATATATTTTAGTTATATTTCAATTTATTAAAGCACCCTATATAGAAAAAAAATATTTTGTCTATCTACCTTACATACCTAAAATTATACTAACGATTTTACAAAATATCAACGTTTAGAAAATTATGAGCCTTCATTATGCAGTATATTTGCGTTATTTTGAGTATATTTAACGTTTTTTTTTAATATATATAATATTTATACGTTACAGGGTGTCTCATTGTAAAAGCCGTGTTAAAGAGGCTTAAGGATATGATTTTTTTGATAAAGGATTTTGTACTATTATTACGAATATTCAAGATGTTAATAATAATTCAAAATATGGGGATTTGACTGTATAATACCCTGTGGTTTATAGTTAATCTAAAGCACAATATCCTTTTTTTTTCTTATAATACAGAATATTTTAAAATTTCTAAAGAAATTGTTCAAAATGAGACACCCTAGTTCTGCTATATGTATACAACAAGTTTTGGAAAACTCTTATTATCTATTCAGACTTTAACTATGCCACAAGTTTTTCGCAGGATCAAAGGACTTGCAATTTATTTCCGAATCTTCAAGATGATTTGTCATTTTCTTCTATTCATTATAATGAGTGATAAGAACTTGAAAAGTTTTATTAAATACAATCTCCTGTAATAATATGAATTTTCCAAGGCATGTTGTATTTATTTTTTCGTTAATAAAAACCCAACAAAATGTTTATACCATATTATAATGTATTTCTTAGGTTTGGCATAGATGTCGACAAATATTGCCATCCGTGTATAATATTTTATGCAGAGATATACAGGGTGGTCCGAATTATATTCCGTAAACTCCGACAGCATATTCGGCAGATAAAAATAAGTCAAAAAGTTCGTATAAGTGTCTGGTTCTGGAAAAATGCTTAAGTAGTTTCAGAGATACAGGGTGTAGAGGTTTCATTTTTATTTCGATTTTTTCCAAATAATTTTTGAAGTAACGTCAATATTTCGATGAAAATTGGTGTCTGGGAGTTTTTTGACTTGAGAAACTTGTTTTTGATGACAATATGACTCCTGCTTGTAGAGGGCGCCAAAAAATACACATTTACGTCATTTTTTTACGTAAAAAAGGTCTCTTGGGAAAAATCGCTACGAGTAATGGTTCTCGAGATATTTGGAATCGAAATTATCAATACCTGTCATCATTGAAATAAATTAAACGTGTTGACTAAATAGTTATTAGACTGAAATTATAAATTTTAAATGTTTTTGTGTCAAAAGTTCAACAGAAACTGTTTTTTCGTAATTTTTTAAAATCATAATTTTTTTCAAGAAAAATTTATGATTAATTTAAAAAAATTAAAATTTCCCAAATTTATTATTTCAGTCAAACAACCAAGAGACATTTTTTATATATTTTTTTATATATATTTTATTTATTTTTAGCGAAACGCGCGTCCAGTGTAAAAGTAAAAGTGTTTTGGTGTATTGTGGTGATTTAGTGTTTTATTTTGCTATATTTTTTCACTCGCTAGTTTTATACAGGTACGGATGAAAAGTTATTACTCTTCAAAATAGTTAAAACACATGTAGGTGGCGCCCCCTACAAATAGGAGTCATATTAACACCAAAATCAAATTTCTCATGTCAAAAACCTCCCAGACATCAATTTTCATCCAAATATTGACGTTACTTCAGAAATTATTTGGAAAAATCGAAATAAAAATGAAACTTCTACACCCTGTATCTCTGAAACTAAGCATTTTAGTACAGACATTTATACAAACTTTTTTACTTATTTTTATCTGCAGAATATGCTGCCGACATTTCCGGAATACATTTCGTATCACCCTGTATAGCTAAAGCCTCTAGATAAAATATCATATTAACTCCATTTAGAAATAGAAGATTTTAAAATACTAGCATCTATTATTTTTGATAAGCTTTAATCAAAACACGTTCGACAATTTTAATCATAACACTTAGGAAAAGTACAGTCGATGGGCGTGTTCAGAGAACACAGCAGCAAATATTTTCGCTGACTTTGCTTTATGGCATATAACGGTATTTCCTAAAAGGCGAAGACAAAGAAAAACGTTCACAGGTGTTAAATATTATTTAAAAAAAAACATTACATTGGCTGATTATATTTCTGATGGAAAATCATAATTTATTCTATATACAGTGGACTAGACATAAAAATATAAAGATAGAAAATGGATAGAAACACCGCTGACTTTGCAAAGTTTAAATATTTACCGCTGAAAATTTTGCTCTCAGCGACTGACCGTTGCCGAGTATCAGAAAAGCCCGTTCAGGGAAGTCGCTTTCTCAGTTGCTCAGCCGCTGACCATCCCGGAACGTGCCCAATGTGTTCAGTACAATAAGATGTACTGAACAAAGAGAGAATAGCAAGTATTTTCCTAAGCGTATCAATTTTTGCTACCTTCATATCGCTAGTTGTACCAGACCAGAAACACAGATGGCGCAATATAAGAGCTCTTTCACACAAAGCCACCTGTGTCATCTAAGTGACGGATACCAGGGGGGTGACAGTGAAATAGGAAAATTGGAAACAGTCATTAGTGTCATTCCTGTCATCTCCTGACGACAAGTATGGCCGCCTAGACAAGGACAACAATGTTTCTGTCTAACCATTGTCTAACTTCACAGTTTAGAATTGACAGATTTGTTCTAGAACAAATCGAACAAATTTCGACGCCATTTTAATTCTCCCCGTTTAGTTTTGTTTTGTAAATTCAATTTGATATTTCGCCTGAAATTTATAAATATAAAGGTAATAAAGCATATAAAATATATATTACATGAAAAATCCTGGAGAAAAAGACGTTTCTGCAGTACTAGGTATGTCCCATGTATATTAAAAATAGGTAGTAAATAAACACTATTTCCATGTTTTTTAGATGCAAGAAAATTTTGTTATATGTTTATGATTGGCGATTTTATTGAAAATGGAAACAATTTACAGCAAGGTAAGATCATTTTTAACTATAGCCAATATTAGTTATCTCCAGTATGTGCGATTTATTGTCAATAATACAATAAATCTGTCTGATACAATCTGATTGTTATCCGATTAAAGGTCTCTTTTTACTTCTTTTGGATTCATTCACTCTTTGGGAATAATGGAGCTTTTTTAATTAGTATATTGATATTTTTACATTGTTAATTTTAGTATAAAAAATGTGTTTTTCTGTTTTCAGGTTTGGTTTGTTATGGTATAAGGCTCCCGTTTTCATGTTCCTGCCCCCGTTTTCTGTTTCTGAAGGCTGTGAATACGTGTATTTATTTACAAATTACTGTAAGTTATGCTTATACCTTACTAATTTACGTTAAAACTGCATATAATTAAGTAATTGATATAGAAATCATTCAATTCTTTATTTTTTTATATTTATTTAGTCACGTTGTCTCACATTTCAAATAAATATGTTTGAATACATTTTTATTTTGTTTTATTTATGATAAGAAAGAGTACAAAATACATTTAAACTGAAAGAGGTGCCCGCCATTGAATAACCAGAAACGGAAATAAAAATGAAGCCATCATGTCAACCTGTCAATTGAAAATTAGTTCTCCAGACGACAACGAAGACTTTCGGTGGCGTATCGTGTTTCCACGATTTAACACAGAGTTGACACTTCTTTCTAGTTAATTATTTTATGACGGATACTGAATTTCAGACACAAATGGTTGTGATTGAAGTGACTTTGTGTGAAAGAGCTCAAAATCTCAACAGTCCGGGTTTTTATTAACGAAACCAAACCAAAAAAACAACAAAATTCGTTTTTTTTTTCGTGTACGAAAATCGCATCGATTACAACGCCGTCGTCTCGCTACATAACAACACGTCGATAGTCTTCACTTTGACGCCGGCCTTCTCCACGTGACGTAACGTCTCCGAGTCACTCTCCAGCATGATGATGCACATGAAACTCTTATTCGTACCGGGCTGCCTCGGGTAGATCGTTTGCGCCTCCACCTTGAGCGCCAGGTCCTCGCAGTAGGCGTCCAGCCGCCGGTAGATGTCGGGGTACTGACGTTTGAGGGACACGCCCCTCGACCTGAGCTGCGTCTGGAGGTTGTCGAAGGCGATGAGACGCGCGCGCATCGTGGTCTCCTTGGTGGGCAGGCGGATCGGATTGCAGGTGAGGATGAGGGTTTCCGGGGTGTCGGGGATTTCCCGATCTGGTCCTGTTTAGTAAAATAATTAAGTTAGTAATAATGGTACACTAAAAAAATTAATTTGTGAATGTAATAACAATATTGAGGGTTATTTCTTGCCACAGATTATTGTAGTAAATTTACCTTTAAAATTACGTTGTTTTGCAGTGAATTTACAATTACTTTTGTAAATTTACGAAGCGTTAGTAAATAATAATAAATTTAATAAAACACGTGCTTAAAATTATTATAATATTTATTATAAAGGTTAATAGAAAATCACAAAACAGAACTTATGTATGTAAGATACTCGTTGCCATCTCTGCTGCAGGGCCGTTCCTGGCGAGCGTGCAGTGCGTGCACGCACGTAGACGCAACATTTTGGGGGCGTAAAATCAAAGGGTCAATCAGTACTTTGTAACAAAAAACCGATACGCTTTCTTGCCAATAAACAAATACTTAAACCATCATAGGATAAAGTTTGCTTAGCGTCTTTATTGCGTTGGCCGCACCGAATAAACAAGTCTAGGGCAATCTGTCAGCAACACATTTATCTCGTCTATTTATTTGTCATTTTATTCATTTTGTTTCTCTCTATAATTTCCTGTCCCACAATGTACCGTTTGTGTCGGGGAAGGGATCATAGTTTCATAGTTGTCGATTTTCGAAAGAAATCAGTACATGTATATTATTTCGTATATTTTTCATTTTATTGATACTATGGAAAGCAATGTTCATTAAAATGTTGTATCCTATGTTATAGGGCTTGTTTCTCTCTACAGTTTCCTGCCACACAATGTACTGTTTGTGTCGGGGAAGGGATCATAGTTTCATAGTTGTCGATTTTCGAAAGAAATCAGTACATGTATATTATTTCGTATTTTTTTCATTTTATTGATTTTATGGAAAGCACTGTTCATTAAAATGTTGTATCCTATGTTATAGGGCTTGTTTCTCTCTACAATTTCCTGTCTGACAATGTACTGTTTGTGTCCAGGAAGGGTTCATAGTTTCATAGTTGTCGATTTTCGAAAGAAATCAGTACATGTGTATTATTTCTGAATTTTAGTTTATTGTTTTTATGTATTTCATATAAAATGGGTCAGTTTTTTTCTTTAGGGTACTACTTTTGTTATTAAATGGTTTTGTTTGTTTTATTTATTTAATAAATGTTTTTATACTTTAATTAGAATAGTTTTTTTACATTTCCAATTACATATTGCTCAAAATTGCACCAAACCAAACTCGGAACCTCCTTAACTCAAAATATTCTCTTTAGAGAAGATTCGAGTTAGGAAGTTCCACTGTATTAAGGAAAATTTCTCTCTCACTGGTAGATAAAGAAAACGGTATATTATTACGAAATATTCGAAACCTCACCGGCAAAATTGAGATCCTTGCTGAGCTTTATCTTGGCACACCTCGAAACCAACTGCCTCTCCCACTTGACCGCTCCGCTGGCGGGAGTTTCCGACACCACGCAGATGGACACGTACAGCACGAACTTGGTCTCGGGGTTGTAGTTCTTGCACATGGTGACCAATTCTTCGTAGAGCATGGGTCCCATCTCGCTGGGCAGCAGGTCCTGCCAGCGCACGAAGGTGAGCTCGCCGAGGCTGGGCAGGCCCTCGCCTAGGAACCGCTCCGCCGCCTCGGGGTTGGGGTAGAAGCACTTGACCGCGCCTAGGCCGTGGGAAATATAGCCTGGAAATTGGCAAAGGTTATAGGTTAATCGAAAATTGTAAAGTGTTTAAATACTGACCTCTCTTAGCGACTACCGAAAGCTCTTTCAGTACGTCTTTCTTCTCTTTGGTTGATGCTATGACCTGCGAAAATAAATTAAGTTTATTTATATGGGTGTAGAAATTTTATTTTTATTTCGATTCTTAGATAATTTCTGAATCAACTCTCTGGGTGTTTTTTGACATGATAAATTCATAAAAATAATAATTTAATTAAAAATATCAAAAAAAGCTTAGACAAAACCGGGAAATCTCGGTTCCTTAGAGGTATGATACCGAAAAACAGCTCCGGTTCGGGGAACCCCTAATAGTCACCTCAAATATATTACCTACTAGCGTGTACCAGCGACTTAGTTCGCATCGAATTAATCATTTGTAATGGTGATGATAAAGCAAAGCAAGAATTTCCATTAACATATAAAATGGATAAAATTTTCTCACATTTATGTCAGCATGGGAAAAAACAATATGGCGGATATTATTATATAACTTGGTAATATTTGAGGGGCAGTTTCATCTCGTTGGAATTTGACTTTCGAAAAATCCGTTTGCCAAAAATAAGCTTTTTACGTCAAGGAGTTTAAGCAGAATCGTGGTTAATCAATTACCCAACTTTTTGGAACACCCTGTATGATTTTTTTAAAAATTTCGAAATATGTAGGAAAAACAAAATAAATTATGCGTGTCCAAGCGTTTTCCCAAAAGACTAACCGTTTTTTAAATAACAAATATTGTAATATTTGAGGGGCGTTTTCACCCTCCTGGAATTTGAGATTCGAGAAACCCCTCCTTATCGAACCTCTACACCCCACAGTCAATCCGTCTGCCAAAAATCAGTTTTAAACGTCAAGCAGTTTAAACAGAATCGTGACTACTCAATGGTGACATTTTATGAAACACCCTGTATAAATTTTAAAAAAATTTTAAAATATGTAAAACAACAAAATATAATATACGTATTTAAGAGTTTTTCCAAAAAACTCACCGGTTTTTAAATAAAATATATTCTAATATTTGAGGGGTGGTTTCACCCCCTTAGAACCCGAGTTTCGAAAAATCCCTCTTATCGAACCTCTACACCCTAAAGTCAACCCGTTTTCCAAAAATCAGCTTTTTACGTCAAGCACTTTAAGCACGATCGTGATTAATCAATGACCAGATTTTTCGAAACACCCTGTATACATTTTTAAAAAATCTTAAAATATGTAAAAAACAAAATAAAATATACGTGTTTAAGCGTTTTTTCGGAAACTTGACCGTTTTTTAAATAAAAAATATTGTAATATTTGAGGGGTGGTTTCACCCCCTTGGAACTGGAATTTCGAAAAATCCCTTCTTATCGAACCTCTACACCCTAGAATCAACCTGTATGCCAAAATTAAGCTTCTTATGTTGAGTGGTTTGAGCAGGATCGTGATTAATCAGTGAGTCAGTCACTTAAGGATTTTATATATTAGTATAGATTCTGATTACTATTAAGAACGTTCTAACCAAATAAAAATCAAGCTTTGAAATGAACCGAAAAATAAACGTCTCTATTTTAGAATTTGTTAGGTTAATTGAAAATCATGAAATTAAAGGACAACAAAGGGCAACATTGTTGGGTATGCGAGTTGACTAGGGGGACGTAGAAGGTAGATTACCTGCCGACACAACGTGCCCATCCTCGAAAACAAACACGTCTTCCTGTGCCGTTCCCAGTGACTCCTCCTGCACGCCCTCGAGCAGTACGTGTACGAACAGTTGTGACAGCTCTTGAACTGCTCGGCCTCCTTGGACGCGGCCAGCGCCGTCTTGCCGCAGCGCGAGTACCTGCACCGCAGCAAAGAGGGCGCTGAAGAGGGTAGCGCGGAGCCGGCGGCCGCCACCGCTGAGGCCGCCGGTTCGGACCCCTCCGACCGGCGTCTGTAGGCGCCGTTGGTAGCGTCGTCGCTGATGCTCAGTCGACGCTGGGGGCTAGTGCTAGCTGATACCGTCTCTGGAAGAAACGAGGGAGCGTAGAGGATTAAAATGCATGGAGGAAGCTAGATTTTTTTTGGTTTATTCGGGATATATCTGGGGAAAATGTTAAGGCGCGTTAAATTAACGATGTACTTAAACAGCCGTTAAACGGTAGCCTACTAAAATGTAATATAGTAGGTAAAGTAGGTAAAATGTAATAAATCTCAATTTCTTAATTAAATTAATAGTTTATTTTTAAAGAAGCATGCGGAATAATATGTTATTAACCAGAGGATATATGCTTTACTATTAAAGGACATTTTTACTGTTTAATGTGCTGAAACGTCTAGAACTATTGGCAACGTCGCTGCTAGTCTTCCAGAATGAAATGAGCCGTCCGTCCCACCACCCCTCGCGACGGCCCTTGGTCCGTTATAGCGTACTACGTTTAGCTTGCGGTGTGTTTGAAGTCGGAATCAAGACGAAAGTGAACTTTCAGTGTTTTTCGGTGGTTTTTGTTTTTGTTTAACGTACTTTTGAATCTGCGAATTCAGTATGGTACGACAGTGTCAAGTGTGTGGAAAAATAAGCTCAAATTACCCGAATTTGTCTTTTCACAGGTGGGTATTGTTTTCGTCATTGTACATAGGCGTCCCACAAGGGAGCCTCTTACAATCAAAATAATTTCTAATTATATTTGTAATTAATCTATTAAAACAAGAACGTAGTAGCCAGTAATTGAATTATAATTAGTCTCAATGACTACCTAACTGTTGTAGATCATAACAAATTTGAATATAAACGTTGCATTTGAAATTTTATTATAAGCCAGAAAGTGACATTTTTTTCTTAAAATTGCGTCATTTCTGGTCATTATATACGATATTCTAAAGGAATTTTGCTTAACAAATAAACAAAGGTGTTACCCGACCTTTTTTACATTTTATTGCTTTATTATATATGCCCCTTCGGCCTTGTTTAGACAATTTTTTACCACTGTACAAATACCTCTTCCTAGAGTTATTTGTACGGTGTGTTTACCTTTTTTTTAGAATGGGATGAACTGTAAATAATTCTTAGGCTACTAGTTTTATACATATCTATATACAGAGTGACCCAGGCCTCCAAAAAAGCTTTTTACCTATTACTACTAGCTGCTCTCGCCATCTAGCACTCGCCATAGTAGTACGTTTTGTACTCAAATGCTATTTTCTGCTTTTATGCTTTTCGTTTGTCGGATTGAGGGTTACAGCAAAGACGGCCTGACGATGGAGATAAATCTCCGAAACCGATCGTCGAGTGGCTGTTCCCTTCAGTCTGATGAACTTAATGCAGAGAATAAGCATATATGTAGGAGTTAGGCCTTAATAATTTTTTGCTTCTTGTATTTTGTTTATTTATACATACCCTACCAAGCCTTGAGCTCCATCTACGGTAACGTAGATGAAGCAAACGTAATTCATTATTATGCGACAGAAATCCCATACTGTAGGAGCACAGGTTTGATACTTTTAATGAATCAATTTTTAATTTTCTCATTAAATATTGATTTTATGTATAGGAAGTTATTAATAATACAAGATTAAACAACTATTACACAGTACTTGGCAGGAAGCTATCGATTGCGAACTAACTAAATCGTTACTAATTACTAATTTTGAAGTTCTTTTTAAGATCAAAAATGGTAAAACTAAAACCTAAACTATCATCTCAGATTAAACGGGAAGTTCTAAATAATGTTGTCTATTCTAAACAAGAAAAATTTATTAAAGTTTTATAACATCTCTAATTAAATTTGGACGAAAAGAATATTTCTGTTTGCTGTAGGTAATTTTCTCAGGGAAAATACGAAAATAAAAATGACTTTTTAAGCCAAAAAAAGTCAAAAGGACAAGTTATTCCAAAAAAGGACTGTACTTTTCAAAAAAGGACAAGTGGCAACTCTAGGTATTTCTGGAATGAAAATTTAATGGCAAATCTACAACTTTAGTTTGAAAATATGTTCCGGCCACCTATGTTTACAAAAATGTCTAAAATGTGTTTTACCATTGCCTCCATATTCTGAAAAAAAATTGAAAGAAATGTCACCAACCACAAACCTCATATAGAACTGTTTCGGAAGCCTGAGTCACCCTGTGAATATTCAAAAGTAACTGAAAGTTTATATAGAAGTAACTGAAAGTTTAAATTGAAAATCGACGTTGGAGCGATTTTCCAAAACCACCTACTAACGTTTCAACATAGGTATATGTCGGATATTAATTATATTATTATATTAGACCTTATAACAAAACTCATCTGACGAAAAAGTGTTAATGTAGTATATTAATATGGAGTATAAATTTTACTAATTAATTTACTTTTACTTTACTAATTAAATGCTTTCCAAAAAACGATACGCCACTGGCCATTAGAACAATCGAAATGCTCCTAGTTGCCGGGGTCGGAAATTTTAGACTTCTCTGTCTCTTCTGTCCTTGTTTGACACATTGGAATGTTTGATACACTACCAACGAGTATTTATGAATGAGATGTTCGGTCTATCTTTATAATGTCTTTGGCAAGAGCACATGTGGCTCCGTGGCTGAGGCTATCGGTTCGTGAGCGGATGGTCCGAGGTTCAAATCTCACGCTGACCAAGACTTTTTTATATTTTTTTTTTGCTTATAGCGTGATCTTATTGCATTGGTTTCACGCTTTTTGGTTGGATTGGTTTAGTTATTTGGCGGGTTGGTTAGCGTGGTTATTTGGAGGGTGTTAATTAGCGATGGGAACTATCGAATGAATTAGACTATCGAATGGTTAATGAATGAATGATTTCAACTATCGAATGGTTTTATTCGAATAAAATCATTCATTCATTTGTAAACTAAAGCATATGTGACAACCTCGCCGTGCGACTAAATGGTTATCGTTGAGCCACGACTATCGAATGCTTTTGATAAATGAAATTTAGTATTCGTTTGGATTTTGTATGCGTCAGTGCATTATTGGTTCTTCCAAATTTTTATAACTTCGCCGTATAAATACTGTGCTATTTTTGCGTTTACTAAAATAGTTAAAATACTAAAATAGTAGTTATTTTTTAATTTTATTTATTGACGATTGTGTGCATGTGCAGGTGGTCAAAATTTTTCCAATAATTTGTGTGGTTTTCCGTAGTCCGATCTTTCAATTATTTCATTTTATATGGTATATGGTCTATTTTTTAATGGGAAATTTTGAGAAGTAGCAATTTTTAAGAGAGATGAGATGAACTTACAATTAATTTTAAAAATACATATTTGTATTTTAGATGTTTTAATAATACCTATGAATTAGTTGGAACTTAATAATTATATTTAAGTAATGTGGTTAAATAAATGGTTATCGAACTCAAACTATGGGGTGAGAAAATTAAAATGAAAATTTTACACGTGCCAATTTAAAAAAAAAGTTAACGATGTTTGTATTTTGTTTATGCTAATTCTCTTACATGTAGTTTTTTACGAAGAAATATTTCATTTATTTTTAAAGTAAATGCCAGTAAAAGTAAATATAATTTTTAAATAGTAATATAAAGCACCTAATATAAATAATTTTGATTTCTAATTTTTTATTTATATTTTGCTTCCATTACACCGCTTGCTTAGAAAATTAATAAATGTTTATATTTCATGATTTTAAAATTTGTTGTTAATATAACAAATTAGTTCTGTAATTATTATTATTTAATAAACCAACGTTGCCAAAAATTAGAGACTATATTATTTTTAAATAGGATCTAATATAAATAATTTTGACATCTAATTTGTTGTTTATATTTTGCTACTACTTAAAAAAAATATTTATATTAAATGATTTTAAATTTTGTTGTTAATAGGTATAACAAATTATTACTGTTATTATTTTATTAAACCAGTCTTTGCTTAAAAACATTAAAAATAATTGTCCTACATCCAAAATAACAAGTATTATTGCAGTGTAACAACAGAATATTAATAAAAAAATGCAGAATATATAGACATACTATCCCTAACTAACTAAAGCCAAACAATAATATTCTTTGCTAATATCAACTAATACAAAAATATGGCAACAGCGCCCTTCATAATGTATTTTCTGTGTAAATACTAGCACCTCAATAAAAAAAATAATGTGTCCTTATCTATATATGACTCCGCAAAAATCAAAGATGCCGGCTTCTTTCATAGCATTGCCACCGACCGCTTTCTCGGAAACCTACGTCGCCGGGCGACAACTAAAATTCAGTTAATATTTTATTATAATCGATCCTGACGAATAAATGAATTTCATAAATGAATGAATTTTATAAATGAATGAATTTTATAAATGAATGAATTTTATAAATGAATGAATTTTATAAATGAATGAATTTTATAAATGAATGGTTTTTGCTGCCGAATTACTAGATTACAATATTTCAAGGCAGATGACGGATCTATTCGATAATTTTTATTCGAATAGTTTTCAACGAATGTTTTCTTACTAACTATCGAATTATTCGAATGAATTGCAACTATCGAATGTTTCGATAGTATTCATTCGATAGTTCCCACTACTAGTGTTAATTCATTGGTTAGTTGGTTATTGGATGGGGTTGGTTGGTTTTTACTAATTTATATTTGTTTTTTAAATTTTTTTATCAGTGTCGAGGTTAGTTGCGTTGGTTAAGTTGGTTATTTGGTGGGGTGGATAGCGTTGGCTAGTCCTTATAAAATTCCTATATTTCATAAAGCCGTCAAGTGCGTCACATCAACGACGTCATACCTATTAACGGCATTTTAGTAAGCTACCGTCTAACGGCAGTTTAAGTACAGCCTTAAATTAAAGTGTTAATTTCACTTTTTTTAAATAGTCAGCACGAAGCTCTTATATAATTTGAGACTAATCAATATTTAATTAATATTAAGCACTTAATATTAAGCACTCTAGGTGAGGGGAATCACAAAACACTCGCAGAAAGAAGCGACATTTAACTACGACGCTCGAATTCATAACTTTCAAAGACAGACAAAAACAAAAATCATACAGGGTTTCTTTTTTAATTTTTAACAAGAAACGTACATTGAAAAACCCTGTATATTGATCTGAGTTTGACCACCTTTAACTGACGTTGCCAACTGCAAACGAAACAATTCTATTTTTTTAAAAAATAAACGAAAAAACTTCTTTTCTGGATACTCTCCGATTTCGGTGTACAATTGGCAACGTTGGACACCGACTCTAGCAAGAAATAAATAAAAGTTTTATATCAAAAAATAAAATACCTTCTGTGTTATTGTTGATACTACTTACACATGCCTCCTACCTTGAAGGCAAGGACTTGGAGCTCGCCCTGAGGAAGGCAGACCTAGCAACGAGTCCAAAACGTCTTCCAGCGTTGTCGAACTGGGCGAGGGCCGCACTTTCGTGTCCCCGCCGGACAGCGTTGCCAAATCTAAACGAAAACGTCCGATATTGCCATATACATGTAAAAGAATATACTGCAGCCTCCCCATACAAGCAATGAGGGGATTTATGTGCCAGTATTGAAGGTGAGAAAGTCGCATTTGTACGGTTAGGAAAGACAAGTTCGTCCTTGTTTAAAAGCAGCATTTATATTCTTTATCTATCCTTCAATATTGGAACAAAACTTCATGCGATACCTGCGGTATATTCTTTTATATGTATATGGATGTTAACACTGTTAGTACAAATATCCAGGTTTTATTTTAACTGTCAGTTAGAATATTAAGGAGGATTGTTAACTACAAATTTTTAGTATATTTTAGTAAAATTAATAATTAATTTGTAACTTTTAAGCTTCGTTCAGAACCTCGCAATTAGTGGAATAAATTTGTGGTTTCAATAACACTTTATAGTTTTTAGTTTACGATCATTCACAATGTTTAAAAGACGATTAAAATTAATAGAATATCCTAGCAACAGCCTAGCTTGCGTTAGTCAGATGTATCCATAGAGAGAGCCTAATATTTAGCTTATAAAACAATCAACTTTTGATTTCTAACCACACTTTCTCTTGACTTCATTTCTCACAAATTTTGAAGTATAATTAGTGGAAAAGTTAAAAGTTTGATAACTTTTTCTACTAATTGAAAATGTCTACCACTAATTTTGACGTTTTGAATGCTGACATTGAAATTAAAGGGACAAACTTCTACACTTATTGAAACCACTAATTTATTTCACTAATCGCGAGGTTCTCAATGAAGCTTTATAAGACAAACACACGTGAAACCAAAAACGACAACCATAACAATTTTATAAACGTCTATCCTGCCATCGGAAGTAAATCACCCTGTATGTGTTGCGTGTTGCGTATCTAAAATTTTCTTATGTCATATGGTGACTGCTATGTTCGCGCTTAAATCTACAGCAGTGTTGCCAGAATTGAAGGATTTCCTTCAATATGAAGGATTTTACAGTCGAAAAGATGACAATATGAAGGTTTCTGTCAGTTTTGCACAATAAAAATTGTTAAAATATATAGTAGGAGTATTTATTGTTTCTCCTACAGCTATTTTTTCACTTTAACGGTGTTTAATTAAGAATGCGTCTGTTTAAAGCAATATTGCTGTCAAAAAGTCCGCAATTCGTAAGATTTTTACATTTTTAATTAAAAATAATTAATAATTAAAATTAATTAAAAGTTAATAGATAACCTAACCGCGAACATAACGGCATAATTACAATATCTGCGCATGTATATGCTCATTTTCCACATCTCTATATCACTGGTTCAAAGTTATGGGTTGTTTTTGATTTCGACCAAGTTTATTTTAGCGGTGAAGTTTGTCAATAACATTAGAAGACAAAAATAAAGCGCATGACAAGATGAAAACGAACAAAAGCAAAATAATAAATAAGAAACATAATTACCTTTTCTAAAACATCTCCCAAAAATAACAAAAAATATAGTGACCACCAAAAAGGCAAAAAAAGCATCGAAAAATAGAAAACAAAAACAAAATTAAAAATAAAACAGATTTATTATTAATAATAATAATAATAAATGGGAACATTTGTACAAGCATTTTTAATAGACATCTATCTAACAATAATACAAAAAAAAATAACAGTTAAATAATTTAAAATAAATCGGTGTTATAATTTTTAACATTGCACTAAATAATAATAATTATAATAAGTTCTAACCTGATTAAAACTGTACACAATTAAAATCTACTAAAAACTAATAATATCTATAAAAAAATTCGTTGGTACGAAATAAAATTAAAATTAAACCAATACAGACACACAAAACTCTTTTGATCGTATATCATATCAAAACCATCACAATTTACTGTTTGTAAACCATGTGGTGACACATTCAACTACTTGTGATGACACCAAAATGAAACAAAACTAAAAAAAAAATGAATAATGATGATATTATAGCGTACGATCGAAAAGTTTTATAATGAACATTTACGTGTATTATATAATCAATACAGGGTGGGTCTATATGTGCATATTTCGAAACAAAAAACACGTCTTTTTCGTAAAAAAAAATTAAAATATTTTATACTTTGGCCCCACGTTGGGCGCCAAAATGTACAGGTTGAGTTAGGGATGGAAAATATATGATTTATCTGTATCGTAGTATTAGATTGAGTCTGCAGTTATTGTGTATAAACAAAACAGATTTTTCAATTTTAAGCAAGTTATGATAAAATAATAAAATGTCAAATATTATTACTGAATTCACTATCATTATAAAACTTTTTGACCATGCGATATAATCAAGTCAATCGATAAAAAATGTCGGTAATCAATATTTTATCAATATACTTGATATAGTTCCCCGAATCAAGTGACCTCTGAACTTCAGGCTTATTAAAAAATTGAAAAATTATCAATGAATGCTTAATCAAGTTTTTTTTAAGTGAATTAAGCCTGAAGGTCAAATGGCATTTTGAAACATTCAACGTTTACGAAACATGAACGAAAAATTCTACTTTAATCCTGCCAATAACTAGAAATATTTATAAATAAATCGTAAGTAGTAAAGCTGCTGAAATCAAAATATACCAAACAGAGGCATATAAAAAAGGCACTGAACATATTTCTTTACAACAATGTACACACTAAAGGCGAATTTTCATGCATCCGATGTCCAAAGTTACGATGATTAATTTTATTTATTGAATTTCAAGACTACCTCCTACGTTATTGGATAATACAAACCGTTTGTGATTGGATAAACATATTTGACATTGGTTTCGTGACTTTTACTTAACAGTCGTTAATTTTCTACCAGATACTCTTTAAAATGTAAAATTATACAGGGTGAGTCTCAAATAAATGCAAATATTTCACGCCAATTTAAGACGTTTATGAGGTTATTTTCGCTAAAAAAAAGGTTGAAAATTTTTTAATTTTCTTCAAATATACAGGGTGTCCCAGAAATAAGTGCAAGTATTTTAACTGATAGTATAGTCCGACCCCAGAAACACGCCTATGAGGTTATTTTCGCGAAAAAAATAAATTGAAAATTCGAAATTTTTTGAAAAATTTTTTGCAATTTTTTTTAGTTTTTAGTTAAAAAAACATAATTTCTTGATAATATGGCAACATAGGTATTAGATTAAATTTACAAGAAAGAAAATCCAGAAAAGATCCAGTGGTTCTCAAAATTTTAGCAAAAAATCTTTTTTTGGAAATTTTCGAAGTAAAATAACTCCGTTATTTTGGACTTATTTGAAAAACGATAAAGAGAAAATATGTTTCTTTTATCGAGATCTACCACCCCTTAAAATACTTGCACTTATTTCTGGGACACCCTGTATATTGCTGTTTATTTAAATGTGTTTTTTAGTAAATTGATCACACTCCAATATTGCGTCTGCATTCTTGAAATTCCTTTCATAGACACAGATCGAGTAAACGTATTTTAGTAGAACAAAACCTAGAAAAAATCCATTGGTTCTCAGCTTTTTTGGACTAATTTGAAAAACGGTAAAGAGAAAATATGTGTCTTTTATCGAGATCTACCAGCCCTGAAAATATTTGTCCTTATTTAAGACTCACCCTGTATAGAAACTGGAGAAAGAATAACCATTTCGTGATAGCGCTAACGTTCCAAATTTGTCAACAAAACAGTAAGGTTAAATTTATTTCAACATTATCCGTTGACGGACAAGGTTTTAAAAATTAAAAACACTATAACCAGCACCGTTAGACGATCGTATCAACGGATGACGGATGCATAAAAATCCACCTTAAACCTGACCACAACTTATTACTAGCACACATAGAGTTCCTCCAAATATCAGTTCCACATTTAGAACCCTCCGAATATAAGCCTTAATGTCTTTACACCGCCATAGACTTACCGTTACTACTGTAGTTCTGCAGGTCCAGCCTCAGCCCCGGAGGCGGTACCGGACTCTCCGAACACGTCACCGGAGTCTCCGGACTGTCCAGCGGCTTCGTCCCCACGAACGAACTCTCCAACCAGCACAGTTTTTGACTACTACCCCTCGGCGACACAGAACTAGACCTCTGGCTATGGTTGTCCATGTGATCGGGTCCCGGAGGTTTCATACCGCTCACATAGTGTACTATCGCCGACGTAACTTCCTTGATCGAGGTCTGGATTTCTGGATTCTCCTGCGTCGAGTTATGAACTTGCTGAGCAAGGAGTGAACACGCCAGACGTTCGGCAGGTGTCCTAGGCCGGTTCAGTCGTTCCTGAGACCTCCAGCCCATGTAAGGCTGCCTGTAACTGAAGCTAGACCTCGCAGAACTGGGACTTATTGACCCATTCACTGGCTGTCGGCCTTGATTGAAGCTACTTCTGGTACTCTGGCAGGGACTTGACGCGGTACTGTTCAGCTTGGAAGTGCTCCATCGCACGAAGGGCTGGTTGCATGGCGTGGGACTGAGTACGATCGGACTCTGAGTACCGGAACCCAGAGAACTGAGGCTGGTGGTCTTGGAGCCGGTGCCGGTGCCAGTCCATCGGGTGTCGCGCGAGGCGTTCTTCTTGTTGAGGAGGAAGCCTTGACCGGGGACTTGGGAGTGCTTGTACCAGTCGGGGATGGTGAGCTTTTGCAGGCTGCGCTGCACTCTCAGTTCGTGCTCGGACATGACGCGTTCGGTTTTTTGCAGCTCATTTTCGGGAGGCTGGAACAAGAAGAAAAACTGGTTGAAATAAAGTGGTTTAGACGAAATTTGGTTAGAATGGTCGCAATTTAACTTAAAGGAGATAAAACTAATTGTTTTAAACAAAAATCGATGATAACAATTTTTTGCAGATTGCGTTAGATCTATATTTGATAGCCAATTAAACTTTTAGTTACGTAATCGAGGATGCGATTTTTAAATCCATTGTTGCCAACCGTGGACATATTCGGCGCCGGACACACTAACTGGAATTTAAATTTCGCGCTGGGGATTCAGGTTCATTGTCATTCGTTTTGACACTTTAGTTTTTTAGATAGATACTTTAAGCTGAAAAATGTTTACTAGCAGAGCCTGCTGTCAAACATTGTTCTTTTTAGGACCTCTTTTAGTGCGAAGTGATACAAGATAGCTTAATAGCCGTAAAAAACTCATCGCAACTTTATTAGAATATGTTGAACGGGAAAGCGGTAGTTGTGGCCCTTTATGTCCCTTAAGTGCTGTTAAGAAGGTTAATTTTTTATTGATGTAAATAATAACTGTTTATATATTTATAATTAATTTATTTTTGTTCCCTAAAATATTTTGATTAAAAGAAAATATGTAAATGTGGGCAACGCTGTGCCGGTCAAGCTTAATCACGTGACTAAAAAATCTATAAAAATATATTTTTTTTACTATTTTAGCTCAGTGGCCTAATGATGAGACATTATTGTCTCGAAACTAGTCATCGTACAATCTACGTATATAAAATGCTAATGTTTATTTGTGTCGTCTCTACTGAAGTAACGACTTGCTCTAGAAAGTTGCTTTTTTTACTAAAAGATAGCTAATTGGCTCTTCTGAAAACTGTCGTCGCCGGATTTAAAAAAAAAATAAAACGTTTTTTTCCTGATGTCGATGTCGTGGCGGATGCGCCAGGCTTTAACTATACAGGGTCCGGCAATAGTGCGTCGGGAATCTGTAGCTCATAGAATAAAATACTTGAGAATTTTGTTTTAGTGCAAACCTAAAGTATGTACCAGAATGTATTTCAGGAAAATATTTTAACTTCTATAGGGTGGCTCAAAAAAGTGTGGGTGGACGTGGATGATTTTTTTTAAATGGAACACCCTGTATATTACTGCATTTTTGGATTCCTTTCAGATCACTTTACATACACCTAAGATATAAATAAATATATTTCGATAGTTTCAGAGATATTAAAAAATAAATCAAAAATATATATTTTTCAGCCCTTCTTAAAAAAATTATTAAAAATACAAAAACTATTCTGAAACCAAAACTATATTAGGTATTTACTTTAAATAGTCTGTACTTACTTTGCTATAAATATGAATGTCGTAAATTATACAGGATGTTCAAAATTCTACGCCAAACTTTCTAAAATATAAAATAATTTTTCTTCGTTTTTTTAAACGGAACACCCTGTATATTATTTTTTTATTATATGGAGAGTTTAAAAATGAACATTTTTTGTATTTAGAGTATTTCAAAATTCTTAACGGTTTCGCAGATACACGCAGTATTATTTCATATGGCGCTTTCAATGGTAAAATACGAGAGAAAAATCATTGGGTGGCTTTGATAAAAATTTACTGTAAAAAATGCCATATGAAATATAAAACCGCAAATATCTGCGAAACCGTTAAAAATTTTGAAATACTGTAAATACAAAAAATGTTCATTTTTTAATTCTCCGTCTACTGAAAAAATAATATACAGGGTGTTCCATTTAAAAAAAACGAAGTAAAATTATTTTATATTTTAGAAAGTTTGGCGTAGAATTTTGAACATCCTGTATAATTTACCATATTCATATTTATAGCAAAGTAAGTACAGATTATCTAAAGTAAATACCTAATATAGTTTTCATTTCAGAACAGTTCTTGTATTTTTAATAATTTTTTTAAGAAGGGCTGAAAAATATATATTTTTTATTTATTTTTTAATATATCTGAAACTATCGAAATGTATTTATTCATATCTTAGGGTTATGTAAAGTGATCGGAAAGTAAGCCAAAATATACAGGGCGTTCCATTTAAAAAAAATCATCTAGGTCCACTCACACTTTTTTGAGCCACCCTATAGAAGTTAAAATATTTTCCTGAAATACATCCTGGTACATACTTTAGGTTTGCACTTAAACGAAATTCTCAAGTTTTTTTTATTCTAGGAGCTACAGATGCCCGACGCACTATTGCCGGACCCTGTATACTCATTTGAGGATAGTTACTAGCTTTATTTGTTAAATAACAAAAAAAATAGTATGTGTAAAAGTATTTTTACAACTAAGTAGTATTATTAAAAGCAGAAATAATGATGCTATATTTTATCTATTTATCACTAATCAGACCAAGTCGTTTAAATTGTACTAAAAATTTCACTTAAAGTAACCGCTCATATGCGTGATTAAACCTAATTAAAAATGTAATTTCAGATAATGAAATAATTACAGGCTAGTATTAAAACGAGGGTACTATATTTCTTTCATTTTTGAAGCCACATATTGATCACATGAGTTAATGTAGAAAGAATTATACATACAAAGTTTTTTTTTATGAAAACACTAGTTTTAATAATCTAAATTGGGGATTAATGTTAGTTATAAATAAAGATTACCTTGAACGTCTTAAGCAAATAAGATTAAAGTGATAAGATAATAATAACTAATTTCTCACATACTTTAACTAAAAGAGTTTAAAATAATGTCACAATGTCAATGTCAATAACAGTGAAAATTGACCCAGTTTAACAAATATTTTGATGATGTCAATGACAACCAGTTTACTTCATTCAGGTGGATAATTTTATAAATATAAAGCAATATAACATGGATATATAGGGTGTCCCATGCTAAGCGTGCTTTAGAAGTTTTTAGAGAACTACAATATCTAGATCGGAGATTTTTTGCACATCATTGTTTCACAACGAGATCTATCGATTAAAAATATTTTCAATATGGCGGCACTCCCGGAAATAACGGGAGTTGACGGCAACTTTCTTATTTTAAACGGGTACCCCCATTTTTTATTACATATTTAAATTCTCCGTAAAATTTTACGAATTATTGTGATACATCTAACATTAACCGTAGTCATGTACAAGGAGGACAACTGTATTTTAAATATTATATTTAATATAACGTTTTTCAAACAAGGTTCATTAGACTATATTTCTACAGGTACATTATTTTGAAAAAAAAATTAAGAAAGTAACTTAAACATTCATAAAAATAGGAGTAATTACTGTTGTAGATTCTTCGTTATATTGTAAACATTGAAATAACTGGAAGCTAAACTTTCTACCTGTTTATATTTAGAGCCAGTGTCTGACGATCTTTTTTTACGATGACCCTAATATGTTTACTTCTGAAGTCGATAAGGGCGCCATATCAGTAGAAAAAAGAAACAGAATATCTCCCTTTTTGTCGGTCGCGCGTACACAATGCTTTTTGTTTGTTGTGAATAGCAACTTCGGTTTTTAGCTAACTCGGATATTTTAACATTTCTGAAACAATATTTTCTAATTGGTAAAACGTAAAAAATCGTTAGATTTGACAACTCTGTTGAAACTGGTCGTTCATCTGGCCGCAGCTAAAAACGCAATACATCCGGCCAGCCGACGGCCAGGTCGTTGCGACCTGGTCGTCAGTGAGTTCGAGCCCTTCAATAAGTTACTTTTAAAAGTCAAATATTTCTGAATAGTTTCACGGAATAATAAAAATTTATTTTACACCAAAAAGGATACCAAACGATACTGTTTTTACAAATAGCTTTGAATGTTTACAAATAAAAAAAGACGTTTTATGTAGTAGAGGCACTTTGATAACAAAAATTATTACATCTTAAAAAATGAAATGAAAATCTTCACAATTCAGTATTGACGAAGTAAGTTTCTATGACATAAATGTAAAAAAACTGATAAAAAAGATTCCAAAGACTTCAAAAAGCCTATAATAGCCTCAAAGATACCTTTCTGTTACCTCTGTAAATTCCAACGTTGCCATATCATCACCGGGCTAGGACGGCAATGAAATGTTGATAACCTCTAGCGCATAATCGACATAACTCGCCACAATTACCATTGATACACTCTGCGAAGGTTCAAATTACAATTACAGCCCACTTGTGTTTTGTACCGAGCGAGCAGATATTAAAAAAATCAAAAACCAAAGAACATAAACTTATTTGTTCTGTATAGATTAACATTATCACGCATTAACATTAAGTGCGCAGTAGTAACATATTATGTGTCTAAGGTCTAAAGGAATATCCAAAAATGCAATAATATACAGAGTGTTCGATTTAAACGAATCTACTCTCACGCCTTTTTTTTGAAAAACCCTACAAAAAAACCCTTGAAATGAAATTTTGTGACTATATTTAGAGTATTTTCCGATGCAGTCGTAATGACAGACAATAGTGAAGATCTGCAGAACCTCCTTCAAAAATAAATGTATCCTGCAAACAATATGGGCTAAATATGAATTTGAAGAAAACAAAATTCATGATTATTACAAAAGACCAAAATGTAAATACTTCAATATCAATAGACAGCACGCCAATAGAAAACGTCCAACACCACAAATACTTGGGCACAATATTAAATGAAACTGCCGAACAATTGCAAGAAATAAAGTCCAAGATTAAGATAGCCAGAAATTCGTTTTTAAAACTAAAGAAATTTCTTTGCAGTAGAGATATATACTTAGATTTAAGAGTAATAATGCTCCGATGCTTCGTGTTTTCGACCTTATTGTATGGTGCCGAAGCGTGGACCCTTAAAGCAGCCGAAATTAACACACTGGTAGCTTTCGAAAGGTGGTGTTATCGTCGCATGTAAAACAAGGAAGAAGAAATACATAAAACCTTTAAGAAGAAAAAATTAGAATATTTTGTACATGTTATAAGAGGTCCTAAATACCAATTGCTCCAGAATATTATAGAAGAAAAAATCCAAAGAGGACGTAGTCGGGGCAGAAGACGAACATCCTGGCTGA